CACCCACCGTGACGAGTGAACCACCCACGCAGGCGAACACCAGTCTGCAGTCGGAACCCAATCCCGCTGCCAAGCGGGCCAAGACACAGACGCCCGCGAGTGGCCCTGTGGTGCCGCCTCACTTGCTCGACCCAAGAAATCCAGCAGCACGCAGTACCGCACCATCAAGTCGTCCACAAAGTCACGCCGAGCAAGCCACCCCATCAGTTCATCATTCCTCCAAGGAAGGACCCAAGGCGAACGACTCAAAACATATCTCGTCGACGACCTCCACCCCAGCCGCCTCTTCCAAAACTCACGCCGCGGGACTTCCTACGGTCGCCCCGCTTGGTCAGAGCATGAGCGCGATGGACCATTCCAAACTTGAGGCCCTGCATGTGAGCAGTGACCCCATGCTGGATGCCATTGAACTGCTTCCTCTCGAGCTCCAAGACTGGGTGGGACCTCAGGTTAAACAGTGGCACCAGCACCTGCCCGATCCTAGCGAAGAAAGCCTGCTTCCCAAGCTCTTTGATTCGTGCGCTGACTACCAAAGGACTTTTTTACCTCTCCTGTACGCAGAGGTCGTGGAAGAGGTTGGTGCCACGCTTCAAGCACGCCAATCAAATTTGGATCGCGATGCAACGTCCGGCTTGCTCTTTCCGGATGGTCGCTTGGTACTGAACGAACGTTGGAAAGATCAGCAACGCCTCCTTGTCAATGACATTGTGCGTGTGAAGCAACTGACTGGGAGCAAACAGAGCTTTCAAGCCATGGTGAGCCAAGTTTTGGACAAGAATGAATTCTCCGTTGTGTGGTCCAAGCGTGCTGAGCCGTGGCGCGAGGATGTCAAGGTGCAGGTCACCCGTCTCTTTCCAGGCACGGGTTACAAGCGGCAATTTGATGCGCTGATGAAGATACAGATGTTACCCTGGCCCATTGTATCCACGCTGCTGTGCGGGCCGCCCCGAACTTTGACGGACTCGCGTGTCAAGCTTGCCCACATTGACCGTATTCTCAAGGCCAAGGAAGCTGAACTCAACGCTTCTCAACGTGCGGCCATCGAGTAAGTTTGCGACAGCCCCTCCATCAAATGCAAAATCGCTTGTATGTGAGCGCCGTCCACTCCCTTTTGATATTTTGTTTCTGTCTGGCAGGATGGCGTTGACACATCGCAGTTGTATGGTCGCCATCCAAGGTCCACCCGGCACAGGAAAAACCCACACCATCTACCACATGGTGGTGACAATGGCGCAAACCCTCAGTGACAGCGGTTCGAACGGAGGCGCGACGCGCATCCAGCGACCGACCGATAGCCACGGTATAACACAGCGCTATTTTGCTTGTTTGTGCCCTGGGTCGTCCTGAGCTCATTCTCTGCACATGCTTTTCGGCCTGCCTCACCACGCGTTTTGATGTGTGTCTCGTTGTATATGCACGGGCGCCTTGATGCTGGCGCGGCTCCCATCAGCCTCGTCTCGGTCTCCCCGGCTAGCACAGAAAATTCTCATCTGCGCCCCATCCAACGCCGCCATTGATGAAATTTTGGTCCGCTTTTCCCGCTCTGCCGAGCTCCGCGCGCTCAATATTGTACGGCTTGGCCAAGCCAGCAGCGTGACCCGGAACGAGGCATCTACCTTTTCACTCGATGCCCAGCAAGGACAGCGCCGCAGCAAAGTGCTTGACCAAATGCGTTCCGTTGATGACGAACTGCGATCGATCGAGCATGAAGCCCGGGCTGCAGAATCCACAGACCAATTTCTCAAGATGAATGCCCATGCAGGAGATTTGAGCGCTCAACGCGACTTGAAAAATCGAGAGCAGGAGCAGCGCCGTGCCGCGGCGCGCCAGGCAGAATTGCAAAGCAGGCGACGGGCTATGAAAAAAGATTTGTCGGCGCTTCAAGAAAAGTCTCGCAATTGGCTGAGCCAAGCAGACATTATCTGCACAACCCTCAACGGGGCAGCGCTGGATGATCTTACCCGCGCTGCTGGTGTGAGCTTTGCGTATACCATCATTGATGAGGCAGCCCAGTGTGCTGAGACAGAAGCCCTGGTGGCGCTACAACGCTGCGGCTCCAAAACCATCCTGGTTGGGGACCATCGGCAGCTACCCGCTACGCTCCTCTCTCCGTTGGGTAGCCGTGTGTACGGGCGCTCCATGTTTGAGCGCTTGTACCCGCTTCTGCACGCCATCCAGGCCGCCGTCATGCTTGACGTCCAATACCGCATGCACCCCAAGATTTGTGCCATTGCCAGCAACCTCTTTTACGAAGGCCGTCTGGAGACGGACCCCACTGTCGCCACGCGTCGTAGCCGAGACCCCATTTTGCGGGGCACGAAGGAATCACCCTTCCTATGGTATGACACTCCTCCAGAAACAGAGGCTGCCATGACGCGAGGCGGACAGGGCGGTCCCAATTCGTACATTAACGTGCGCGAGGCTGAGCAGGTGATTCAGTGCTTGCTCACGCTCTGCCGCATCCGTCTGGGGCTGCGGAACCGCGTGACAATTGTGACGCCATATGCGGCCCAGCGCAACTGCATCAGCGATCATCTCACTTGGGCCTTTGGCAAGGCGGCGAACGCAGTGCGTGTCAGCACGGTTGACGCCATGCAAGGCCAAGAATCAGATGTTATCATATACAGCGCCGTGCGCACATCCGCGCTTGGCTTTACAAGTGATCGTCGCCGAATCAACGTTGCGTTGACTCGAGCCAAGACCTGCCTCATCGTTTTGGGTTCCAAGCTTCTGCTAACAGACCCGACTTGGCGTGGAGTGTTCAATCATCTTTCAAATATGGAACACCTCCTTCCCTTTGATGCCGAGCCTCCTTACCTCAAGTCTAGCAGTTCCTTTGTTGCGCTAGATGAGCCAGTGGGGCACATTGCATCAAACGCACTTGGCACGCCCGGTAACTTTTGCGATCCCAAGGATCCTCAGATTCTACAGTACCGCCAGGTACAGCGGGGCGGACCGGCGCCTGCTCGCCCTCGTTCGCGTCAAAGCCGCAGCGCTCGAGGCGGCGATGACATGACTAGCGATGAGCCAATCTCGTTTGGAAGCGAGCGGCCAAATATTTCTGGGCCAGGGCGCGGCAGTTCGCGAGAGCGTGGCCCTTTTCAAGGGCGCGGGCGTGCACATGAGCGCCGAGATCGGGATCGTGGTCATAGTCGAGAGCGCAAGAACGACGGTCAACAACGGATCCAAGGTGCTGGATCAAGCCGCGGCAGAGGGCGAGAAGGGCGTCGGTTGCCGGGATATCAAGCCCCCGGTCGAGGCAATCGGCCTCATCACCATCATCACCATCATCATCAGCAGCAGCAGCATCGATCCGGGCCTCACCCCCATCCGCAATTCCACCACCATCAGCAGCAGCAGCCACAACCGCGGCCGGGCCTAGCGGGCTTTCGTCGCGAGCGCATCCCTACGCAAACCACCCCATTGGATCCGCGGTTACAACCAGGCTGGCCCGCAGCGGCAGCACCACCACCACCACCACACCACCACCATCAGCCGTCTTCTGCTGCTGGTGGCGTCCCGATTGTGGCCCCGGCTACAGTGCCGGCGCGCACGTACAATTTCGAGTCCAGTTTTGATCTATCGTCATTTCTGCGACCACAGCAGCGCGAGATGGCGAGAGAGGCAGAACCTCAACCCAACCCGGCCCGCATACCAGCAGAGGACCGGCCTCATGTGCGCAATGTGGTGGAGCAAAAGGCAACGAACATCCCCTTTTTGGACCAACTGTTGTCGCGCAAGCGATGAAGTCACGCACGAGGAGATAGCGTCGCAAGTGTTTCCCGCCTTTCCCTTGCGTATGTTCATGACTTAAAGATCCGATCATTGTCATTTCTGCTCCGCGCTCCCAAGTTAGTCGAAAAAGACGAACAGAATAATTTAGCACATTCAAATTGACAAATGCGCATACAAGTACTTGTTTCACGCAGTAGCACGTCAAAACAAAAACAAAATGGACCCCGTAGAGAGGTTAGCTAGGCTGATCAGGCTTTATATTAACCGATCCGTGAGTGAGCGCCACAGACTGAGCGCGCCAGGAACGATGGCCTGGGTGACCAGGTCAAGCGTGAGCGATCAAAAGCAAGCTTGGCCGCGAGGATAAGGGAAGCTTTAGAGCAGGTTGCAGGCACTTGTTTCAGGCGTACCGAATTTTGCTGCCGGTCGGCGGTCTTGCGCAAATCATCAACCAGTTGCTCCAGCCGCTGCACCTCCTACAAGCCACATGAGCGGGTGGTCCCCGATAAGAAACGGGTGGTCACTGATACGAAAACAGGAGCTGCCAGAGCAAAGCTTCCGTGCGTACCGTGCGTAAGCCCATGATCGATTGCCCAAAGTCAAGATTGGCACTCTCATCCCCCGAAGAGGCCTCTCGAAGCGGCGAGAGAGGTGCAGGCGAAGTCTCCAACGAGGTCAGCCCGCGGCGAATGCGCTCCAAGTACTCCACCAAATGCCAGAGCTGCTGGCCGTGTGACGAGAGCCCGTGGTAGAAGCGACTCATGCATTTCTGCTCGTTAACGGTCAGAGTGACATCTACTTGATCACCGAGTCAGATCATGTGTGAATCCACAACAAACACAGCAGTGATGGTTTATGGTACACTCGAAAAAGCATCGCCTGGCCTAAAAGCAGCACGCCCAGAACTTACCTTCTCCTGCAGGAGCATGACGTGCAATTTTTTGCAGCAATTGAAGGCCTGCAAGACCTCGGCGGGTGGGACTTGCCATGCGCGAGCCGGGCGTTTGTGGTCGCGCCGGTGTTGGGGCTGCGCTATCGATGAGTGAATCAGATTGAGCATCAAGGTACACAGTGGCATTGCCATCCAATTCCTGTGTCTCGTCGGACCGCAGTGCCAACTCTGCCTGGAGCTGCTCAATTTCTTGTGCAAGACGAGAACACTCCTCTCGCGCAGAGGTCAGCTCAACATCCTTTGCTTGGACCGAACTTTGGCTCTCGGCCAGCTCCGCACGCACAGTAGCAAGCTGTGAATGCAGTTGTTGAGACATCTGCTCGTTGGCTCGTTTGCTACCGAGAGCATCATCGCGCTCCTTGCGCAACCGATCAATCGCAAGCTTGTACTCGTTCGCAGAGGACTCGAGAGATTTGGCGCTGGCTTGGGCACTGGCCTGCGCAGCTTCGAGCTCTTTGCTCACCTCGGCCTGCTTGAGCTCCCAATCCTTGACAGTTTTGGCATGTGCCTGCTTCTCGGCGTCCATGGCACAAGTTTTCTTTTTGAGGGATGTCAGGGCCTCGTCCAGCTCTCGACGTGCCTGATTAAGCTGCTCCTGGAGGCTTGCTGTACGAGTGATTGCAGATTTCTCTTGCTCGGCCCGGGTCTGTTCAAGTTGTGCGAGCTCGGCTTGCAGTTGGCCGCATTCCTCTTCGAGCGTTTGACAGCGTCCGCGTGCCTCATCTTTGGAAGCCGTTTGGCTTGCCAATTGCTTGCGTAGCTCAATGACCTCCTCCTCACTGGCCAGTTGGATCGAACGCAGACCTGACACCTCTTGTTCCAAACGCACGATTCGTGCGAGCGCCTGGTCTTTGTTGTCATTATGCAAGCGCTGCTCTGTCTGCAACTGATCAATCTGATTGACATGATTGACCGAAAGCATGAGCTGAATAAGTCATCTTTGTTTTTTTTTTCCTGGTGTTCCACTCTGATGGGGCAGTGGCGTACCGTTGCGTTGGCCGAGTCCAAGGAGCTCAAGAGGCTAGCGTGACGCGATTGGCTCGCATGGAGGCCCTTGCGGGGGGAGTTCAAAAGATTGCGTAAGCTCTACCCTACGTATTGAACAACGAAGCGAGCATCTATGCGCTCAGGATCGATGATTTACCTCCAACTGTCGCTGTGCTTCAGCATGAAGTGAGTTGAGCTGCTCCAGCAGCTCGGCATTTTCATGCAAGGCCTGCGCGAGTTGCTCTTCCTGAGGAGCCAAGAGAAACAGGTGAAGGCTCGCAACTAGCGACATGAAAAGGCCGGAACTTTTATGAAAAGACCAAGCACGGTACGCACAGCCTCTGAAGCGTGCGCTTCTTCGGTGGAGATGGCATGGGAGACTGATGCAACCAGTGAGGCCGACATGACACTGAAGTCGGCCGAAGTCTCGTGCTCTGCACTGCGTGCGACTGGTGTTGCAGGCCATGACGGGGGCTGATGATGGACGGCTTTGTGTGTGTCATCAGCTGTCAGCTCCGAGAGCTGGTGATTGTCAGATTCAACAGCGGGCTCCGCCGTCGTGCTGTCAGGCTCCGCGGCTTCAGATGCCTCCTCAACTAACCCCTCAGTGGGTTCACTCGTCATCTCCAAACTCTCACCATCGGTCTCAAGCATGGGCTTGGGGCTCTCAGTGGCGGCTTCAGTTGTTGGCCCCACCACCTCGATGGAGCCTTCGATCGGAAGCTTTACGACCTTATCCTCGTCCGTGGCTTGGGCTTGAGCAGGCGTGGCCTCGTCTGCGACACCAGTCATATCACTTGCTGGCTCGATGTCCTTGCTTGCTACCTCACTCACCGAACCCACACTCGTAGGCTCAGTCGCGGGTTCTGCAGCAGCCATCGTCGCGCCCTCGTTTCCGCTCTCGGTAGACTCTAGAACCGAAGCCATCTGGGCAGCTGCTTCGTCATCAGAATTGCACGCCTCTTCAACAACACTAGTGGTGCTGGCCGTAGCGTTCTTGCTGGCGGCAACCAAGGGCTCATGCGCGGGCTCATGCGCGGGCTCATCGCTTGGCGGACCAGTCGCTTTGCCCGCAGCTTGAGGAGCGATGTTAATCTTGGCCTCGGCGATATTGGTGAAAGCAAACTTGTCACCAGCACCGACAGACACGACCAAGGCAGGTGAGAACTCGGGCTTGGGTGATGCAGCCGAGTCCTTGGCCTGTGGGCTGATCGGCACGACGGGGCGCTCAAAAATACCAATGGCGCCCTGAGATGGCGCTTGCGCACATGAGGCAGTGGCCTCGTTGATGAGCGAACTCACAAGCTCTGAGGCAATTAGCAGGGAGAGATCTTGCGCGGCTCCTGCCTCCAAGAGGCTGCCCTTCATCTGTTCGTCACTCAACGCTGCATCAAAGGTGGAGGGCCAGAGCTTTTTGCGCACGTCAGTGGCATCGGTGCTCAAGGGGGCGCGATCCGAGGCCCCTTCCCGATGCGCAGTGGCAGTGCGCGAGCGGCGTTGGGATGAGCGCTGGCTTTTGAGCGACATCTGGCCTCGCGAACTGGTGGTGGAGAGGGCGCTTTTCGGTTCTGGCGAAGGCGTCCGCGTTCCGTCGGCTGGCTTGGCCGGAGAGGCTTTTGGCGTGCCAGTGGGTGCAGGCAACACCATCGGGCTGGTCGAATTTGAGGGGGTCGTGGCGGGGGGAGTCGATACGGTCCTGTGCGCCGTGCCCTTGTTACCGTTACCACGAGACTTTTTCTTTTGCTTTTTACCTTGATTCTTGCTTTTTGGCGCTTGGTTGGTTGGCTTTTCAGCGCTTGCGGCGGCGGCGGCGGCGGCAGCAGGCACGGCCTTTGAGTCTGGCGATGCTGCAACGGCAGCTGAATGCTTGGAGGCTGACTTGGATTTTCGATTGGGCGTCTTGCGAGGGCTGGGCTTTTCGTCGTTGCTCACCTTGCCAGGGCTACTTGAGGGCTTTTGGGGGCTGGGCACCAATTTTACTGCGCGCGAAGGGTGTGACCCAGCGCTGGGCGACGAGAGAGTGATACGCAAGGAACCAGTGGGGTTGGCATCGCGCTGCGCCTTTCCTTTGCCCGTAGGCGTTGTCGGCGCGCTTCGACGGGGACTTGATGGAGGTCGGCGGCGGCGGGGTTCAGAAGCCGACGCATGAGGCGCTGGCGCTGGTCGGCCATTCTCGTGCGAGGGCCGCCTGAGAAGCGGAGCTCCCAAACGTGCCGCCTCAGATTGAGAGCTCACAAAGCTGGCTTGAATACTTTGCTTCTTGGGACTCTGTGTGGCTAGCTGCTGTCGCGCAGCAAGCTGAAAGTGCGATTCGGACTCGGCAGCCCAGTCCGCCATGTTGCCAACGAGATGATCCCGCGACTTGGAATGCCTGTGACACACAGCATGAAAAAAAAACGTGATGTGAGCCACAACGCGCTGACCGCTGCCTCAACAGCAAGCCCCCAACTGCACCAATTACAATCAGCCACTGCCATCGCATGCCCCAACTCCCCCCACACAGCAATCAGCCCTGGCTCGACAGGAGTACCCCGGATCCCGCGCCGCAATCAACCCGACACACACACACACACACCAGAGAGAGAGAGAGAGAAAGAGAGAGAGAGAGAAGCACACAGAAAAAAAAAAAAAAAACTGCACCACACTCACAGATCATCTCACAAGCACTCACATACAAAAGCACCAAAAAGCGTTTGCTCTCAATCGATCTCTTTCTCTCTGTCTTTGTGTCTTTAGTCTCTGTCTCTGCTCTTTGTCTCTCTCCTCTCTCTGTCTCTGCACTATGTCCATGTCTTTAGTCTCTGTCTCTGCGTCTCTGTTCTCTGTTCTCTGCTCTGCTCTCTGTGCTCTCTGTTCTCTGTCTATGTCTTTACATGTTAGTCCCTGTCTCTGTCTCTGCTCTCTGTCTGTCTCTCTCTCTCTCTCTCTGCTCTCTGCTCTCTCTCTCTCTCTCTCTCTACTCTCTCTGTCTCTCTCTCTCTCTCTCTCTCTCTCTCTCTCTACTCTCTCTGTCTCTGCTCTCTGCTCTCTGCTCTCTGCTCTCTCTCTCTCTCTCTCTCTCTGTCTCTCTCTCTCTCTCTCTCTCTCTCTCTCTCTCTCTCTCTCTCTCTCTCTCTGCTCTCTGCTCTCTCTCTCTCTCTCTCTCTCTGTCTCTCTCTCTCTCTCTCTCTCTCTCTCTCTCTCTCTCTCTGCTCTCTGCTCTCTGCTCTCTCTGCTCTCTCTCTCTCTCCCACCAATTCAATCTCTCTCTCTCTCT